GTAAATTTAAGCTTAACTTTAACATGAATTATTAACTAGCCGCTGTTGTTTTTTAAACTGTTGAAAAAGGATTGGGAGACAAATGTCAACATAACTGCGAGACATCACTTGTCGAATCAATTTCTCACAAGGAAGACTAATTGCTCTCGAGTTTCTTAACATTCGGTATGTTGCAGGTGAAATACAAAAAAAGTTCTACTGCAAGAATAAGTATATGCGTTGTATATCGACGATTTTTTGGATGAATCAAAAGCCAAAAGAAGTTGCAGCTATGTTTGAATGAACTGAAAACTGTCAGTTTCATGAAAATCTTTGATAGAATCAAGTTCTGAGATTATTTTGCTTAAATATTCATTATTTGTTGTAACATGAGTGTTCAAAGTTTTCATGATTTCTTCAATTTGAAACCATTTGCGTGACAAACTTTTTTTTAAGGTTCAGTTTATTTTTTGGTACCTCCAGACTATCTTTCTCTGCTACTCCTAACTGCAAAAATCCAAAAGGAGACTGTATCACTCTAAAATGAAGAAACTTATGAACTGCTCTCCGGTTGTTGTCTGTCATAGCCAGTTCTCTACTATTTTGCTTGACATAGAAATCCGGGAAACGTTTTCCAATCTCTTCTGAAAAAAATTAAAAAAATTAGATTTTGTCCCGATCATTTTAAAATTCACTTTTTTGTAAGTATTCCTTCACTTGTAACTGTTTTAGTTAACCTAGGAGTTGGCAATTGTTGTTTCTGACAAATCTTGGGCACCTTTAAAAAGTGTAAGAGGCCCAACTGGCTGTTTGCCTCCCCGAACTGTGATCCAGTCTCAAAGTGTGATGCACAAATTCATATTTCTGACCCATCTCAAAACCTTCTGGGCTATTCGGCATTGCTCTAATCTATGCTTGACGCTCTTGTTCGTCGGTAGGAAAGCGCACTACAGGACTGTATGGTTCTCCTTTATAGCTCCTACGACAATTGAATGTAGCACACCATTTTGGCATTATTCCTGAGAATGCAAAGAAATATTAGTCACTAAAACATGAAACTGTGTGTGTGTGATTAACATCATTTTTTTCCTCAGAATATCGTAAAAAAACCCATTAAATATCAAGGAAACTACTGACATTTATTATTTTTTATGCTTTGTCATCCAAGTTTGCTGGCTAACATTCATTAGTAATTAACTTACCATAAAATTAGGGATAAAGAACAGCAGAAAAGAGCATCGCTTGCCAGTACCACTTCTCCTGACTGAATGTTGCACGATCAACTCGTACTTTGATGTTCTTCGAGTGGGCGGGAGATGTCGTTTAATTAAGGCGTCATTAGGGTGGGATTATGGGTGATTGTGTGGAAAAGTAGGTATGTTTGTATGTGAATCTATATGTGGGTGTGGGTTTTTGTGTGTAAGTGTGTATAAGAGACAACTGCTTTTCTGATGATGCATTTAAACAATGGACCCAAGTTTAAAACCCTGAGATCGCTCATTTCCACTCCTTATTTAAAGGTGAAAATGACTTTAGTTCCTCATTGTTATTTACGGTTGGTTAAACGTAGACTTAGTAACATACTAATGTATTTTGTCACATATGCTGAGACAATAAAATTCACATGAGTAATTATAACCGATATGATCTACTCTGTTGTATATCAGTGCACACTTACACCTACATGCACGCACCCAACAACGTCGGCTAGAGAAGGTACAGAAAAGGGCCTGCAGAATCATGCTCGGCGCAGACTACTCCGGCTACAACAACGCTCTCTCCACCCTGGAAATGCCACCCCTCAGTGACCTCCACCACCAAGCACTAGCAAGGTTTGGCAGTGAACTACTGCACCACCCTCGTCATCGCCACCTCCTGCCACCGGCAGTCTCCCACCCACCTCGCACAGTCCACCACTACAACAAAATTCAGCCCATAAGAGCCTGCACCGATAGATATAAGAATAGCACCATCCCATCTATTGTCAAAATAATAAACAACTCCTGATTTATGTATTGTAAGTTTGTATATTTTCAGCCACCGGCTGCACCTCCATTAATAAACCGTTTATTATTATTATTATTATTATTATTATTATTATTATTATTATTATTATTATTATTATTATTATTATTATTATTATTATTATTATTATTATTATTATTATTATTGTTGTTGTTGTTGTTGTTGTTGTTGTTGTTGTTGTCGTCGTCGTCGTCGTCGTCGTCGTCGTCGTCATCATCATCATCATCATCATCATCATCTACTCATAGAAGCACGCCATCTGTTGGTAAACAGACCAACTTGTTTCTGAACAGCTAAGAGATTAAATGTCGTATACCTCCAGGTCAGTGTCTGCTAACTTTTGTCTGTGACAGTACAGAAAGCAGAGGGACCTCTTTCTCCATGGTAAATCATGTAGGGTGGAGAAGGGGAATGGTCGACTTAGGGAAGGTCCGTTTGTTGGGGGTAGGAGGGTGATATGCGACGTAAGTTGTTCATCAGAGAATGAGGGGACTGAAGAAGGCAGGGAAATCATGAAAGAAAGAAAGGGAGGAGGGGTGTAATTTTCTTCTCTATATTACATCTTAGGTTTTCTTGATTGAAAGAGTATTAGATGATGACCCTTATTTTATGATTATAATAATGTGTCACCCATTTCGTTATTAATCACTTTTTCACGTTGTTGTTCTGGTTTTAAATAACGGTAACTAGATATTTATAATAAGTTATTGATATGAGGAGAAATATTGAATTAGAAGATGGAAATTACATTTTTAATATTTACCAACACAGCCACGTTCAATGACCTTCTCGCCTGTCAGTCGTGCTCTTCCCGGCCTAAAGTCATACCATTTATATGAATTAAGAATTCCAATATGTTTCATTTACATTACACACCTGAAATTAGTCATTTCAATATTTCAAATGTCAGCAAACCAATAAAAAAAATTCATGAAGGCCGGTTTCTCAAGTTCTCAGAATCCTTCCAGTTTGTTAACCAATGTCTCATAGTGACCCCAACAAACGTCAATAGACCTTGACCCCAATCACCTTTGTAATTTCTGACATATTGTAGCCAGCCGATAATTAGCTCGCAATTCGCCAATCGATGCTCTTTATCGTCCATCCTTGGCTGGGTGTAGAGAAGTGGCCAAAGTCCATTACCACTACCACCTGTCCACCTCATCACCTTGCAATGATTTTCACATCTCGAATAAACATATTACAGGGTGGACAATAATCCATTCACTCACATTCCTACCCAGAAACTCAAGTAAAGGAATAGATAACTAAGGGATTGTTAAGTCTATATGACACCTCCCCGGTCATTGGCCCATCAACTGCCAGGGTCATTTAAGGTCGTCAAAGACAAGCTACATCCACCACTCTTAACACCTTTTTCAAGCGTTCAGGATAATTCTTAGACCACTTACACTCTCACTACATATGTGGCCCTTTACTTGCGCCCTCCTACCTTACCCGGCTTTGCCACCCCTAGCTCTCCCGCACATCAATACCCTTTTTTCCCTTGTGACCCGTCGTGTAGAAACGCCTTGAGCTAGCATTATGGCAGAAGGAGGGGTGGATGCTTACCTTTGTCCGCGACTGTACCTCAACTGGAATTCCACCAGGACCGGTGGCCCAGATATATTTTATGTAACTGATCACAGTGGCTACCTTATTATGGGATGGAGTGTTGTCGAGGTGAAACAGCTCAGGGCGCCAAGGATCTTCTGATTAAGCTTATTCGAATGTGGTGATCTACAAAACATGATTGGACAAGTAATGGGCAAGTCAAGATCTCTTGTTCTAGAGCCACCAATACTGCGAGAGTCACTTAATCAAAGAAAGGCATATAAAGAGCTGGATATATAGATTTAAATCCGATCTCCAGAATAAAAATAAGTAAACAAAGTGTTATCAATATTATTTACATAAATAAAGAGTTCAATGGTGACGATAAATGTAAAACAAAATGATGGGAAAGTTCAACTTTTCATGAAGCTACATGAAAAATAAGTTATAAATAATGGAGTAATATTTGTTTTATACTATATGTCTAGACTTTGATTTCACCTGTAATTAGTGATTAATGAAATTCAGATCTTTTAGTTATCATATGCATCTTCACTTTAATATGATTTGCAATATTCAAGACACAATTGAAGTTAATATAATGTAATATGGACACCACTTGAGCTATTATAATACAAAGTTAGAAGAGCTGTTATGCACAGAATTTGAAGCGTTTGCGTCTATGTAATCCTGAGGGTGCTAATAATATCCCCACTTTTATGACATCAGTCGTCACGTACTCGTGGTCACAATAAGTAATAAAATACCTTGAAGAGATATGATTAGTCATCACGAGCCAGGAAAGGCATCATCCAGGACATTAGATGAAAGGATAAGTGTAGTATTGGATAGATCACGTATCAGTAGGTTACTGTGGTTAAGATTCTTAATCCTTTGTGTGTCTGCTTTGGTAAATATGTTTTTGTGGCTTCTTGTGTAACTGTATGTGCATCCATCACCATATTGGTACTTACATGAAAATTGGGTGTTTACACAAGTTCATTCACTCTCAGCCACCATATATTTTGGTACATTTTTTACATGATAAATCAAAGTAGGGTCCAGCATTTATCAGTAAGTCTCCAACAGCTTAGAAGTTATGTGACACACAACTTCTATTGGTACCCTCAATAAAACCTCATGACTTGCTGATGTGAACAGGGAATTAGCATTGTTTTACTAAAGTTGTAGGAGTACAATATTATGATGAGATTTTTAAGTCTGTTCATCATTAGAAATATATAATTCTTGTAACAAACGAAGTAGTGTCATTGTCTGAACCCTTTATTATTTATGTTTGAAATAAAACATAACTTGCGTGTAATCAGGTAACTTACCCGGTACTTATTATGATGCTGGCAAGGAAGGTCGCTATTTAATAAATCACATATCCAATGCTGAACTTGTACTCCTAGTGAGCTAAATTTCTTCCTTGGTTCCAGGGTTGATGGGCATCCTGCTAACATGGATCACGCCCCTAGCCATCGCTCCTGCAGTGACACTAGTAGGACTCTCACTGATTAGCGTGGCGACAGAAAAGGCAGCACACCACTGGGGCATCTCCTTCATGTAGGTCCTTATTGGACTCCCGATGGGGTGTCCTACTCAGAAGTATGACCTACCTCTGAGGTCGAGGTTTGGGGAATATTTGACCTTTAATGAATATTCTGAAAATAACAATTGTTAATTATTATAATGCTATTTTTTTTATTTTCTTAATAGAATGAACTTTTATCTTGTATTTTTCTCTCTCCCTTCTTTCCCTCCTTTTTTCTCTCTCTTTCCTTCGTCCTCCTCCTTTTGTCTTCTCAACCCCCTCCAGGACGATGGTGCTGATGATCGTATTGTCTCAGCACATGAGGAATGTGGCTGTGCCTTTCCCCACCTACAACACAAGCTCTGGCTGTGGCGTCTCCTACGTCTATATCTTCAAAATCTTTCCGGTATGGACAAATTATTTCTCACAGACGTGTAAGAAATAAATCAGCTACTTATAAATAGTTAATCTAAAGTTCCTCAATCGTTTCACATATTCTGTATCGCGATATATCTTGTACAGATTACTGATCAGGGCAGTTTACTTACGTTATCACTCTTCCTTTCCTAAAGGGTTATTATTATTATTTTTTTTTTTAACGGGGAATAGCCCACCCGGGTACAGGTTATCGACCCAAAACGGGGCCTGGGGAGGGGATAAATAAGAGTAAAATAAATTAAAAATAAAAGAGAAAAAAGGCTATATTAATCTTATTCACGAAGATGCAGGAGAACCAGCTATCTGAAGTGTGACAAATTGTAAGGGTATGGAAACACAGAAGAAGGCAGAGCATTACACAGTTTGGCTGTGTCAGGAAAGAAGGATGTACTATAACGGGTTATTCTAGTGTGACCGACATCCACACAGTAACGGTGGGCACCGCGGGCAAGACGAGTGTTACGAGCCCACGACCTTGCCGGCTGTACACAGGTGGCCAAATCCACCGAACATTGCCCGTTAAAGTACCTGTAGTACTCCAAGTTCGGACGAACGAATCCTTTATAAACGTGTAGCAACTGCTGAGGAGTGAAGTAGCTACGGCATCCGTACAACATTGTCAGCTTTCTGGAGGCAGCTTTAACAACGTTGCAGATGTGTGGCTTCCATGACAAAATAGAGGAAATGGTAAGGTCTAGAATATCTATTTTAAAATTTGGCAGAATGATTGATTCCTGAAATGTGAGTAGTGGGAGATCTTCTATTTTGTAAATTATAATTGATAAATACTGTGTTTTGTTACTATTGAATTTAACCAAATTTCTACTTTCCCATTCGGAGATGCTGCACACATCCGCATTAATAGATGAGACGATATCATCTCTAGAAACAAATCTAGTTTGAGAATTAGGGGAAGGGAAAAATGAGAAGGGTGAAGAGTAGAATCATCAGCGTAAGAATGGATAAAATTAGTTTGAAGTTAATCACGGATAAAAAGAAGGAAAAGAGTGGAACACCAATATTGGTAGATAAAGATCGATCCCTCGACAACACCTGCCATGGATCGGTTCTCGAGGAAGCTAGAAATTAGTGAACAAGGTGAGGAGCGAAACCATAAGATGGAAGTTTAGAAAGCAAACACTTGTGCCATACCCTGTCAAATGCTTTGGAGTTGTCGAGGGCCACGACGAAAGTTTCCCCATAATCCCTAAGAGAGGATGACCAAAGATGGGTGCAGTAGGAGAGCAGATCACCAGTAGATCTCGCCTGGCGGAAACCATATTGGTGATCCGACAAAAGAGAAAGGCGTTCAAGGTCATGGAGAAAATTAGAGTTTAAGATAGTTTCGAAACTCTTAGAAAGGGATGAAGTTAGGGCAATGCGGGTGATAGTTAGAGGGATTAGAAGGATCACCCTTTTTCGGGATGGGCTGAACCGAAACATGCTTCCAAGAAGAAAAGTTTGGGTTTTGAGGCAAAGACGAAAGATGCGAACAAGCAGAGGAGCCAGAATTTCAGCACACTCCCTCAGAACACGAGGGGGTATTCCGCCTTATTCACATCCAGATTTGATAACACACCAGCAACCCTACGAGTGGAGATTATAGGAAAGTGCATAGGTTCAGTAGGAGGAGCAGGGGTAGGAGGGGTAGAGTTGGATTCGTCTAAGGTAGAGTTAGAGGAGAGTAAGGTGCCAAAGAGATTGACTATAGAGTCATCAGGTCGGAAGAGAGGAGGAGAAGGGGGAGTGAAGAAGTTATTACAGAGGTTTTTGGTTAAGGACCAGAAGGATTTACTAGTCAGGTCAGCGGTCTTTCTTTTTATAAAATTCCACTTGGCCCTACAACGATTCCTTAAAGTAATGAAAGAGGAGTGGGTAACAGGAGGAGGAGGAGGTAGTTTCATAACTTGATCTCTCTCCCTACATGCAAGAGAACAGGAGCTATCAAACCAGGACTGTAAAGTGAAAGTTTTGGTAGAAGATAGGATAAATGCACTCATACCACCCTGTATAACCCCAGCAGTGATGTCAGCACATACCGAGGCGTCCCGAGTGGAAAAGCAACATTCATCTCAGGGAAAGTAGGAGAAGAATTCTCGCAAGGATTGCCTGTTTGCCCTCCGATAGAGCAATAGTTGGCGTTTAAAGAGGGGTGGGGAAGATGATTGTGCCCAGTTTAATTTTAATATAAATAAGATTGTGATCGAAGTCCCTAAGGGAGTAGAAATTGAGAATGAGTAGTGTGGGGGGTTAGAGGTAAAACACAGATCAAGAATGTTAGCAAGTTGATCGTGTCGATCTGGAACACGTGTAGGGTGTCTAATTATTTGTTCCAGATCAATAAGTAAGGAATAAGAGAGTGCCTCAAGCCACTCTATGTGATGAACATTGAAATCCCCAATTTAGAGGATCTCGGTGTTGGGGTGTGTGTATAGCAACGACTCATGGCAAGAAGTGAGATAGTCAAAGAGTTCCAAATAGTTGGTAGAGTTGGCAAAACAGTATTGGAAGCAAAGAAAAATAATTATAATTGGTAGAGATATTTTGAGCCAAATGACATCATAAAGAGAAGATTCAAGATCCGTGAGTCGAGCTATACTGTAGGTATAGAACGGAAAGAGGACTTAAAAAGGTTTTGATGAAGCTGATTTGGTCAGTTGTAGTAAGACGTCGGGGGAAGAAGTTAATAGATTGTGAGCCACAGAAAAAAAATTAGATCTCAGGCCGCAAATGTTGGAAAATGAAGAGTGAAAAAAGCCGATCCTCCAGCAACCGCGGTGACGTCAGTTGATGTCCCAGTAGTTTGATGATGATCAGGTCGGCCCTGGGGTCCACAACCTTCTCGACCAGTGGGACCCATCCGAGAAGGCCCCGTTTTAATATTATTGTCGACTGGTGTCATAGGAGAATAAAATAATAGAAAGAATAAAACTGATCAGGAGTGAGAAAAGTTTTGTATGTTGTGTTGTTTAAGTAAGAGAAACAATTTAGACCCTGCATTGTGTGTAAATGATGCATGAAGTCAGATTAGCAACCTGGGAGTTGGTCACAATTTTTATGATGCCATATGGCAGCAGGGTCTACTATTAGACAACGTATTATGCTCCCAATATCTTCCCAGGTGGTAGTACCAACCTGTTTGAAATCTGCCTACTACCTACTATTGTCACTCTTCATTGCCCAAAAGGGCATTATACAAGTGTTATTAATGTTCATCTTGGTCTTAAAGGTGCTGCTGGCAATCATGCTCTCATGGGGGTTATGTGCAATTCTTACGGCTACTGGGATGTTTGCTGAGGGTAGCAAGGCCAGGACTGACATGACTACGGACCTCTTCAGTGACTCTCCATGGTTCAGGCTCCCTTATCCAGGTACACGGCCCTTGTTCAGTTGCGAAAATGATTTCATACACTCCCTATGGTAACCCCTGGTTCTAAACGGTCAACCTATATGACGTATACAGTAACAAACGAATCCATGAATCACGTCCGTCGTTACACGGCCAATACCCATTCATTCATAGATAGTGATACTACTACTGCAACTGTGCCGTTTGGAGACACCACAGGGGGTGTAGGAACACTCTTCTACATCTGTACTACAGGTGTAGGTCCTTTGTGCAAGCCTTTTGTACATAGCCCTGAATACAATATTTATAATCAAGCAAGATATTGTCATTCTTAATAAATCCATTTATTAGCATGAGTGAAATGAAAAACAATTCTTGTAATATAATTCCTGAATATATGTATTGAAACCCTCCCGCGTTATATATAGATTTTAGTGTGTGTTCAGATTATTATAGGAATTATTTTTAATCCTCAACGATTTACCCGTGTGTTGTTAATAAAGTTCCAACTGAAAGATTTTTTTGAAAGTTTTCCATCAACTGCGTAGTTAACTATTATTTATGAATACTGTGAGAAATTTTACAATCTTGCAACAACACTCAGTCACACACGCAGACTTTGCTGATGCTGTACGCTCTAACACACACACACACACACACACACACACACACCCACACACATACAATATGTACATGCGCATGTACAAAGAATTTGAGTGACGGTCGAGGAGAAGGAAATGTTTAGGAATGGTGTCCACACTTACACTTGAAGGTTATCCCATACTTTTAGTGTTTCATACACAACATATACAGTCGTCCAACGAGGTGATGCCACGGTTTTAAATAAGATTAGTTTAAACAGCGGTATCTGGCAAAGTAGGAGACCAGGGAGTGATTAACTACAGAACACTGACCAGTCCAGCTACTCCAGTACTCCAGTGGCCTGGGCGCCGTTCTAGTAAGATGGTTTATTGACAAACTGCTGAGCTAAATTTTACGCTACCTAACTTTTTTCTGGCAAAAGTAAAATAACTATATCCAATCCCACGACTGTAAGACGAAGAGAATGCGTGCAGGAAAAAATAAGGACGGCTAGTCCAAGGTGATACAGCAACACAAGCCGCGTTATATAGTGTAGAATAAGTGATCGTGGGCCCATCGTGCCCGGTGGCGAGTCCGTTGGTACAGTTTACCAAAGCGTGAAAGTTCGAACGCTCGTGCTTGGCTAGTGTGCAAATGCTGGAAGGCTGACAGCGTACAGTGACATCGTTTGCCAGCGTAAATAAAATGGTTAATTAATGCCTTCCTAAAGAAACCATAGACATAGGACCAGGATTGTTCCACTCTACGGTTTTTTTGCGATTTTTCCACCAAGTTTGATGAAAAACGATTGCGCCGATTCGGAAGCCCAGAACAGACACACACACACACAGGCACACGGTTATAATCATAGTCGTGGTTGATATAATCATGGTCGTGGTTGTTATAATCATGGTCGTGATTGTTATAGGCATAGTCGTGGTTGTTATAATCATAGTCGTGGTTGTTATAATCATAGTCGTGGTTGCTATATTCATGGTCGTGGTTGTTATTATCATGGTCGTGGTTGTTATATTCATGGTCGTGGTTGTTATAATCATGGTCATGATTGTTATAATCATGGTCGTGGTTGTTATAACCATGGTCGTCGTTGTTATAATCATTGCCATGGTTGTTATAATCATGGTCGTGATTGTTATAATCATGGTCGTAGTTGTTATAATCATAGTCGAGGTTGTTATAATCATGGTCGTGGTTGTCATAATCATAGTCGTGTTTGTTTTAATCATGGTCGTCATTGTGATAATCATGGTCATGATTGTTATAATCATGGTCGTAGTTGTTACAGCCATGGTCGTGGTTGTTATAATCATAGTCGTGGTTTTGATCATTCTCGTGGTTGTTATAATCATAGTTGTGGTAGATATAATCATGGTTGTGGTTGTTATAATCATGGTCGTGGTTATGATCATGGTCGTGGTTGGTATAATCATGATCGTGCTTATGATATTAGTCATGGTCGTGGTTGTTATAATCATAGTCCCGGTTGGTATAATCATGGTCGTGGTTGATATAATCATGGTAGTGGTTGTTATAATCAGGATCGTGGTTATGATCATAGTCGTGGTTGTTATAATCAAGGTCGTGGTTGTTATAATCATGGTCGTGGTTGCTATAATCATGGTCGTGGTTGTTATATCATGGTTGTGGTTGTTATATTCATAGTCGTGGTTGTTATAATCATGGTCGTGGTTGTTATAATCATGGTCGTGGTTGTTATAATCATGGTCATGAGTGTTATAATCATGGTCGTGGTTGTTATAACCATGGTCGTGGTTGTTATAATCATGGTCATGGTTGTTATAATCATGGTCGTGATTGTTATAATCATGGTCGTAGTTATTATAATGATAGTCGAGGTTGTTATAATCAGGGTCGTTGTTGTCATAATCATAGTCGTGTTTGTTTTAATCATGGTCGTCAGTGTGATAATCATTGTCATGATTGTCATAATCATTGGTCGTCGTTGTTATAGCCATGGTCGTGGTTGTTATAATCATAGTCGTGGTTTTGATCATTCTCGTGGTCGTTATAATCATAGTTGTGGTAGATATAATCATGGTTGTGGTTGTTATAATCATGGTCGTGGTAATGATCATGGTCGTGGTTGGTATAATCATGATCTTGGTTATGATATTAGTCATGGTCGTGGTTGTTATAATCATAGTCCCGGTTGGTATAATCATGGTCGTGGTTGATATAATCATGGTAGGGGTTGTTATAATCATGATCGTGGTTATGATCATAGTCGTGGTTGTTATAATCAAGGTCGTGGTTGTTATAATCATGGTCGTGGTTGCTATAATCATGGTCGTGGTTGTTATAATCATGGTTGTGGTTGTTATAATCATAGTCGTGGTTGGTATAATCGTGGTCGTGGTTGTTATAATCATGTTTGTGGTTGTTATAATCATGGTTGTGGTTGTTATAATCATAGGCGTGGTTGTTATAATCATGGTCGTGGTTGTTATAATGATTGTCGTGGTTGTAATAATCATGGGCGAGGTTATGATCATAGTCGTGGTTTTGATCATTCTCGTGGTTGTTATAATCATAGTTGTGGTAGTTAAAATCATGGTCGTGAGTGTTATAATCATGGTCGTGGTTGTTATAATCAGGGTTGTGGTTGTTATAATCACGGTCGTGGCTATTATAATCATCGGTGGGGTTGTTATATTCGTGGTTGTTATAATCATGATCGTTGTTGTTATAATCATGGTCGTGGTTGTTATAGTCACGGTCGTGGTTGTTATAATCATAGTCGTGGTTGTTATAAACATGGTCGTGGTTGTTATAATCATAGTCGTGATTGTTATAGGCATAGTCGTGGTTGTTATAATCATAGTCGTGGTTGTTATATTCTTGGTCATGGTTGTTATATTCATATTCGTGGTTGTTATAACCATGGTCGTGGTTGTTATAATCATAGTCCTGGTTTTGATCATTCTCGCGGTTGTTATAATCATAGTTGTGGTAGTTATAATCATGGTCGTGGTTGGTATAATCATGGTCATGGTTGTTATAATCATTGTCGTGGTTGTTATAATCATGGTCGTAGTTGTTATAATCATGGTCGTGGTTGTTTTAATCATGGTCATGGTTGTTATAATCATTGTCGTGGCTATGATCATAGTCGTGGTTGTTGTAATCATAGTCTTGTGTTTTTTAATCATGGTCGCTAGTGTGATAATCATGGTCGTAGTTGTTATAATCATGGTCGTGGTTGTTTTAATCATGGTCATGGTTGTTATAATCATTGTCGTGGCTGTGATCATAGTCGTGGTTGTTATAATCATAGTCTTGTGTTTTTTAATCATGGTCGCTAGTGTGATAATCATGGTCGTGGTTGTTATAATCATATTCGTGGTTATTATAATCACGTTCGTGGTTGCTATAATCATGGTCATGGTTGTTAATATCATGGTCAAGGTTGATATAATCATGGTCATGATTGTTATAATCATGGTCGTGTTTGTTATAGCCATGGTCGTGGTTGTTATATTCATAGTCATGGTTTTTATCATTTTCGTGGTTGTTATAATCATAGTTGTGGTAGTTATAATCATGGATGTGGTTGTTATAATTATGGTCGTGGTTATGATCATGGTCGTGGTTGATATAATCATGGTCCTGGTTGTTATAATCATTGTCGTGGCTGTGATCATAGTCGTGGTTGTTATAATCATAGTCTTGTTTGTTTTAATCATGGTCGTTAGTGTGATAATCATGGTCTTGGTTGTTATAATCATATTCGTGGTTGTTATAATCATGGTCGTGGTTGCTATAATCATGGTCATGGTTGTTAATATCATGGTCAAGGTTGTTATAATCATGGTCATGATTGTTATAATGATGGTCGTGGTTGTTATAATCATGGTCGTGGTTGTTATAATCATATACGTGGATGTTATAATCATGGTCGTGGTTGCTATAATCATGGTCATGGTTGTTAATATCATGGTCAAGGTTGTTATAATCATGGTTATGATTGTTAGAATCATGGTCGTGGTTGCTATAATCATGGTCATGGTTGTTACTATCATGGTCAAGGTTGTTATAATCATGGTCATGATTGTTATAGCCATGGTTGTGGTTGTTATAATCATAGTCGTGGTTTTGATCATTCTCGTGGTTGTTATAATCATAGTTGTGGTAGTTATACTCATGGTTGTGGTTGTTATAATCATGGTTGTGGTTGTTATAATCATTGTCGTGGCTATGATCATAGTCGTGGTTGTTATAATCATAGTATTGTGTGTTTTAATCATGGTCGCTAGTTGATAATCATGGTCGTGGTTGTTATAATCATATTCGTGGTTATTATAATCACGTTCGTGGTTGCTATAATCATGGTCATGGTTGTTAATATCATGGTCAAGGTTGTTATAATCATGGTCATGATTGTTATAATAATGGTCGTGT